GTAACATTGATGTGAGGTAACCAAGGTATCTTTGATATAAGTCTACAAAGGTAACATTGATGTGAGGTAACCAAGGTAACATTGATGTAAGTCTACAAAGGTAACACTGATGTGATGCAACCAAGGTAACATTGATGTGAGGTAACCAAGGTAACATTGATGTGATGCAACCAAGGTAACATTCATGTGCGGTAACCAAGGTACGTGGTTGTGAGGTAACCAAGATAACATTGATGTGATGCAACCAAGGTAACATTGATGTAAGGTAACCAAGGTAACATTGATGTAAGTCTACAAAGGTAACATTGATGTGATGCAACCAAGATGACATTGATGTGAGGTAACCAAGGTAACATTGATGTGATTCAACCAAGGTAACATTGATGTAAGGTAATCAAGGTAACATTGATATAAGGTATCCAAGGTAACATTGATGTAAGTCTACAAAGGTACCATTGATGTGAGGTAACCAAGGTAACATTGATGTTAAGTCTACAAAGGTAACATTGATGTGAGGTAACCAAGGTACCATTGATGTAAGGTTCTATATGTTAAGTTCCAAAGTTATAGTAAAGTAACCAAGGTAAAATCCTAAAAGACACCTCTTTAATATGTAACGGTCTTAGAAAATGTATATTTACAAATTTTTGTTTCATTTTCAAAATAAACCTTAATGATTTCTTGAAATCAGAAAGTTGAAATTACTAACATGTACCCCACTGCAGTGAGATTGACTCATTAATGAAGTTTGAGGATAAAATCTATAATGTTCTTGGCAATATACTCAAGAAACGCAAATATGAACCAAAATGTACATGTGTACAAATCATAGTAACTTGTTTTCATTCAGTGAATTTAGGATGTACCTGCATACCAAATTTGGGTACTCCAGGAGAAGTAGCTAAGAAGATAAGCTCTGAAAAACCTTTTTCAATGACAGGTCAAAGGCCAAGCCATAGGTCAAAGTGATATTTTTTTGTAAACTGTACTCCACCATCTTAACTCATTCATCCCTGAAGACCCATTTGAACTCCTCCAATTCAAAGGTTGGAATAGTTCATTATGAAATTTTAGGGGTGAATGAGTTAAGATAAACCTGTATACTGAATTTGGTAAATCCCGAAAAAACAGTATAAGAACTAGGTGAACTAGTATAGAAGATATGCCCCAGATAAACTGAATGAACAGATGAAGGAGAGCAAAACTATTTTGAAGAATAGATCATAAACAGTTCTTTTTTGAGGTATGCTCTGGAAATGAAATATGCTCCAAAATGTAATATTTTAGGCACCATTTATATAACAATCCAACATTTCTTAAAATCAGAAAGGTGAAAACACCAAATGGCACCTTTCTGAAGTGTAACTGACTGATGATTGAAGTCCAGAAATCAAAATACCCTAAAATCTCCTCTGTAATTATCTCAGGCTTATTTTTTAAACCGGCCTATTTTGAAATCAGACTTATTACCGAGACTTTAGGGTATGCATCAAAACATATATACTCTGTGTGTTCATGACACCTAGAAAATTCTTGAAATGAGGAACTTAAAAATATCAAAAGGCACCCCTCTGCACTAGGATTGCCTCATTTGAGATGTTTGAATATAAAATTTGAAATAGTTTTATGATGCTTTGGAAACAACTGCACACAGACAAACAGACACATGAATGATCAGTACCAGTTTATATACTCCCCTTGAACGTCACAGAGCTTTAAGTTCTGTGCCTGGTGAATTAGTGTTTACATATTCAGTATATTGATATAGCCAAATTAACAAGACTATATAACAACTGGAATTTTCATGGTTTATAAATAAGACAATGCTCCAGTAAGTGACTCCTCTTTTACACTTCTCAATTTGTTTTTAAATTAAATGACATTTGAATCAAAAGTACTTGCCTTACTAGAGCCTCCTCGACCAACCAACTTGAGGACCCAATATTGTTTACCATTGACAGTGATGTCTTTCATCATCTGTAAATATACAACACAAATTCTGGATGTTATTAAGGATGAAACACAATTACACAGAGTGTGTCATCAATATCAACACTGTCTTCATTCTTATATCATCTACTGGGAAATGTATTGGGTATAGACTTACCAGACTGAGTGTACTGGGTACAGACATACCAGACTAGGTGTACTGGGTACAGACTTACCAGACTAGGTGTACTTGGTACAGACTTACCAGACTTGGTAAACTAGGTACAGACTTACCAGACTAGGTATACTGGGTACAGACATACCAGACTAGGTGTACTGGGTACAGACTTACCAGACTAGGTGTACTGGGTACAGACTTACCAGACTAGGTGTACTGGGTACAGACATACCAGACAAGGTATACTGGGTAGACTCACCAGACTAGGTGTACTGGGTACATACTTACCAGACAAGGTATACTGGGTACAGACTTACCAGACTAGGTGTACTGGGTACAGACTTACCAGACTGAGTGTACTGGGTACAGTCTTACCAGGCTAGGTATACTGGGTACAGACATACCAGACTAGGTGTACTGAGTACAGACTTACCAGACTAGGTGTACTGGGTACAGAATTACCAGACTAGGTGTACTGGGTACAGACATACCAGACAAGGTATACTGGGTACAGACTCACCAGACTAGGTGTACTGGGTACATACTTACCAGATTTGGTATACTAGGTACAGACTTACCAGACTAGGTGTACTGGGTACAGACTTACCAGACTTGGTGTACTGGGTACAGATATACCAGACTAGGTGTACTGGGTACAGACTTACCAGACTAGGTGTACTGGGTACAGCAGGAGGAGGAACACCTTTCATACATGGAGTTACCATCTGATTATTGGTCAGCTGTCTGTAATACAATGTATACATGCATGGTTAGGCTGTTAAAAGTCACATAAATATTCCATATGAAAGATGAGTAGTTATTCTGTTATTTTTATACTTAGGTATATTATAAAATATAAAGAATCTGGAGATATTCTTTTGAATCAAGCTTCATTACGCGGTATATAGGACAAATGTTTGGTCGGAAAACACTTAGCCATTCACCATAAAAAGCTAACATAGCAACCACCTTGCATTGGTGAAACGTTTCACTGAAATCTATGTAGCTTTTTAGAAGTAGTCCAGACATGCTTTTTAGAAAGAAGAGATAAGGTAATCAACAAACCTAGTGTTTTGTTTGACCGGTGTCGGCCCAATCATAGCCATCCCTCTGGGGGGAGCAGGTGGCAAGGGGGGAGGGGCTCTGTTGTCTGCATGGGAGTGTGGTGACCTCTGAGGGTGGGGATCCCCAAGACTATTTACTTTATTCTTGGGTTCCTCCACTTTGGGTGCAGAGTGATGGTGAGGTTCCTGTACTCGTGTTTTAGGCTTTAGGTGGGGTTCCCTGCAGGGCAGCTGACTGGACGACACTGATTTTGACTTAAATGTTTGACCCTGATTGTGTTCCAAAGAAACAGCTACACTTGAAGAAGAAAAAGATTTTGGAAAGTTACTATGTTTCTCTAAAGGCTCAAGTGGTTGGCTAGAGTCATTTGTGTTGTGGTCATAACACATCTGTTCCAGGTTCATTTTTGGTATAGGGGCTGGTTGCCAGTCCATGGGCTTTGTGGGACATTCTAAGACTTGTAGTGGTCGGCGAACTGACACAGCCTCTGGATGTGCCACATCTTCTGACTGCACAAATTCCTTGGGGGATTTATGTTTCAGGTGTTCCTCAAACTGAGGGGGTGACATTTTTGTTTCTGTGGAAATACTGATATCCATCATAGAACAGTAGCCAGAGGAATGCGTCATAGATGTCGACCCAAGTGCATCTGTAAAAACATAAAACGTAATTAGTATGAACTAGGCTGTATTGGGCTATCTTAGACTGTTATTAGTATAAACTAGGTTATATTGGGCTATCTCAGACTGTAGTAAGTATAAACTAGGCTATATTGGGCTATTTCAGACTGTAATTAGTATGAACTAGGCTGTATTGGGCTATCTCAGACTGTAGCTAGTATGAACTAGGCTATATTGGGCCATCTCAGACTGTAGTTAGTATAAACTAGGCTATATTGGGCTATCTCAGATTGTAGTTAGTATAAACTAGGCTATATTGGGCTATCTTAGACTGTTATAAGTATAAACTAGGCTATATGGGGCTATTTCAGACTGTAATTAGTATGAACTAGGCTGTATTGGGCTATCTCAGACTGTAGTAAGTATAAACTAGGCTATATTGGGCTATCTCAGACTGGAGTAAGTATAAACTAGGCTATATTGGGTTATCTCAGACTGTAATTAGTATAAACTAGGCTATACTGGGCTATCTCAGACTGTAGTTAGTATAAACTAGGCTATATTGGGCTATCTCAGACTGTAGTAAGTATAAACTAGGCTATATTGGGTTATCTCAGACTGTAATTAGTATAAACTAGGCTATATTGGGCTATCTCAGACTGTAGTTAGTATAAACTAGGCTATATTGGGCTATTTCAGACTGTAATTAGTATGAACTTGGCTATATTGGGCTATCTCAGACTGTAATTAGTATGACATAGGCTATATTGGGCTATCTTAGACTGTTATTAGTATGAACTAGGCTGTATTGGGCTATCTCAGACTGTATTTAGTATAAACTAGACTATATCGAGCTATCTCAGACTGTAGTTAGTATAAACTAGGCTATATTGGACTATCTCAGACTGTAATTAGTATGAACTAGGCTGTATTGGACTATCTCAGACTAGTTAGTATGAACTAGGCTATATTGGGCTATCTCAGACTGTAGTTAGTATAAACTAGGCTATATTGGGGTATCTCAGACTGTAGTTAGTATAAACTAGGCTATATTGGGCCATCTCAGACTGTAGTTAGTATAAACTAGGCTATATTGGGCTATCTCAGACTGTAGTTAGTATAAACTAGGCTATATTGGGCTATCTCAGACTGTAGTTAGTATAAACTAGGCTATATTGGGCTATCTCAGACTGTAATTAGTATAAACTAGGCTATATTGGGGTATCTCAGACTGTAGTTAGTATAAACTAGGCTATATTGGGCTATCTCAGACTGTAGTTAGTATAAACTAGGCTATATTGGGCTATCTCAGACTGTAATTAGTATGAACTAGGCTTTATTGGGCTATCTCAGACTGTAGTTAGTATAAACTAGGCTATATTGGGCTATCTCTGACTGTAACAAGCAAATTCATGGAATTTATATCCCCAGCTTGCAGACATATTGTAGGTTAACATTATTGAGGTTAGGTTTAAACATGTGAGTATCGTGCTGTTGAGACATAATGCAGAGCTTGAAACTTGAAGAAAAAAAAGCAGCCCTATACCTCATTGATTATTCGTAAATATGCACAAATCAAATCGGTTGGCAAACTTAGCATGAGTCGGAAGTGCATACGGAATTTGGTTGAAACATCTGAACAATATCTACAGCAATTATCACACGAAAACCAAAGAGTGCACTAGATGGGTGGAAAGACAGAGGAACACATTAAAGTGGTTGTCAAACTTGGCCGAGCCCTTAATGCGTTGAACCCCGTTACTAAGTTTGAAGACAATCAAATAATATTTGCGAGAGTACATGAACAGAAACGGCAGATAATAACGTTTTCGTTATTCAAGGGGCCATAACTCCGCCAAATAAAGTCCGCTGAAAGTGGTCATCCAACTTGGCTGAGCCCTTAAGGCATTTAACCCTGTGACCAAGTTTGAAGAAAATCAGTTAACATTTGTTTATAAACAACCAGAACAATGTGATACAGTTTAATAAATGCTATTTATTAACTGTATAGGTATGCAATGTTATCATGACCAACATTGTTGTATATGTCTTATAAATCAGCATATACATGTTTATACACATAACAGAAGAAATAAACAATACACAAATATATACATTTCATGATCATCTACATTAAGGTTTGGCCTTGGGGGCTATATCATACTACACATATATAAGCTATGGAAATCTCACGGATTACTGACGTTATCCTACCAGGAGTGAACTTTCACCCCTTGTCCCAGGATTACTGCCAATATATCCCCCCAGGAGCGAAACGGTTGCCCCTGGTTCCAACGGCTGGATGAGATTTCCCATTATCAAAAAACAGACCCCAATGAGAGGATATTTCTGACAATCCTGGATCCAGACATGNGGCCCCGTTAGCCCATGTTGTACCAATCCCATGAGAGGATTCATCATTGTTGGAAAATCCTGGATCTATAGGATACCTAATTATAACTTATAGGCACCTTATTATGTAGGTATAACTGTATATTAACATGGGGGCTGAATACAACAACATATGTGTTGTGTACCTCCCAAATTGAAGCTATACACCTCTCGTATTGCGATATGTGTGCAGCTGAAAAGCCCCCAAGTTGTATATATATATATGTTTCTTGTAAAAAAGTATATACATATATATATAGTACATGGTATATCTTGTTGCATTTACTATTATGTCATAAGTTGTAATACTATCTTATATAGTAACTGTATATATGTTAAACACATGGTAATGCATATTTTAGAACTTCCACAAGATGACCATATATTTATCCAATGTCCAGACGTGTATACGAAATATATATCCACTTATGTTACATATAAAGTCACAATTAGTACGTTTCCTTATATATGTCTTCCACAATCTAGAGTGACTTGGTTTTAAATATATCCATGTCCACAGTTCCAATTGTATTTAGGTATACACACACTTGGTGTCCAAGTCACTGTTTATGTCTACATGTATGTCGTTCCACAGTTAAGGTGACCCTATATATAATATAAATCCAATGTCCACATGCATTCATGCGTGTTATACAGTAATTACACACAATTGGCGTTATAACAAAAAGTCATAGGTCATGTATTTGTCATGCTTATCTGAGCCTCATTGATTGTGTTATGAGATGTCCTTATGTATCTTTGGTAACAGTCTGAAGACCACCTACCTAATGTTTTGATAAGGTGGTCTTCCACTTTAGCTCCAGCTGCAGCGGTTGCAGCCCCAATACGAAAGGAATGTCTGCTGTATTAGGAAGTATCGAGTCCAATATTCTCCAAGTTAGTTTTCAAGAATTAAATAAAAACATTCCTTGATAACGCTGTGCCCTCCCTGGTTACGAATAGAGGTGATGTAGGGGTCACATGATACATGTTCTTTCTGATAGTAAGATATTGCACATAGCTTGATGTGGATCACTCCCGTATTATATAAAATAAATAAATCCAGATAATAATTGTTTTCAATCTTTCGATTTCAAAATAATCTGCGATTATTAATTACATATTATGATATGTACTTGTAAATTATTCAATGTATTAACAAATAGCAGAGACAGAAATAATAAAAACAAAAATATTGAAAAACATAACTTAAAAATTTGAAATTGGTGGCAATTAATTAAAAATTAAATCATAAAATAAAATAAAATGGGCTCTTTTGTAGAATTGCGTCCTCATCGCAACATTCTTATAATTATTATGTATATGAATGGCTAAGAGTTCAACAGGTAGGTCCGTACGAGTTACTTCCCTTAAATAATGCATGTTGTGAAAGAGCTCGCATATTTTTATCAGATTATTTCTTATATTTCGGTACATTCTACTGTTATGATTGACCTGATATATGCACACAGTTAGGTAAGTGAAAAATATATATGAACCAGAAGACGGAAGTAAAAAATATTGATTAACGAATTCCCAGGCGCTCGAACACCTCCCTGGAGGCTGGACACTCAATCCACCCTCGTGAAAATACTATTTATCAACGTATTTCAGTACTTTTACTGTTATGATCGACTTGAAATTTTTGCACAAACCTAGATTAATGAACAATATTTATGAATTAGAAGAAAAAAAAGTGAATAAAATGTAATAACGCAAAAAACTCCCAGGATACTCTCTTCCCAAATATGCATCTTTATCGACGTATTTCGGTACCTTTACTGTTACGATTGAACTTAAATTTTCACACACCTAGGTAAGTGAACAATATTTATGAAGTAGAAGATAACGAACTCTCGAGCGCACAAAAACCTCCCAGGACACTCATTAGGGTGACCCATTGGAATTAAGCCACAATGTGACTTTATGGGTCATCCCAGGTAAAGGCCTAAATTAATCTAATCCAATCCAGTTTTAACACCTGACTGACTTCTAATCTTATGGCATAAATAACTTATAAAGAAGATCTCATTCTGTGATAATATATATATTTATGTCCAATCTGCAAATGTGATAGAAGTGTATTATTTGCCTTTTACCTGAATAAATATTATTATTATTTCATGTTGGGTTGAGTCCGGCGGCTGGCGGGAGTTTTAATTCGCAACTTGACAACTCATCCTGAAACTTAACGCTAGTCCAATTCTTGTAATCGGCCGGATCGCAAGGAAGAACGTCGCTAGTATCTCTGGATGAACGTCCACGAGGCATAATGTATTGGTATGATACAGTCGACAATTCGAGTCCCATTGTTTACATGAACGAAACGTAAGAAACAAACACACGTGTTCCGTTCGCTATGATTATGCCAAGATTGTTTGATCAGGTACTCTAACACACGTAGGTAATGTTTGATATTGCCTTAGATATAAGCTGATGTAAAATGCGTCCGCACGCTCCTATAGTTTCTTAAAACAGTGCGGGGCGACGCTGACCTTTGTTGGTCATCTCATTAATTATGCGTGGCTAACCGCTTGACCAATGGTAATTAACCTTGACCTGCCTAGTGATAACTTAAGCCAATCAGCATCATCCCTAATCTAATTATGACTGTATTATCACGTGTAAGAAGAGTGTAGGAGACTGTTGAGCTATGTTCTTTGTTCTGTATCTATAAATATAACCTGACAGCATTACGTATACCTAAATTTTGGTACACATGCTGGTACTAAGATAATATATATATATATGTTTATATGATATTTATCCACATGTATCTCTAACACACCTTAATACTTAAAAATCAACAATGTTGCACATGATATATAAACAAATGGCTGTTTACAAACAAAGTTTATTATAAATAATAAACTACAATTGTAGTTATTGCACGGAAATGACGCATGACAGACAGACAGACAAACCCAAATGTATATCCCCCGTTTCGGTGAAAGCGGGGTATAATTAATATATACCAGGCTTTATTGGGCTATCTCCAACTGTAATTAGTATAAACTAGGCTGTATTGGGTTATCTCCAACTGTAATTAGTATAAACTAGGCTGTATTGGGTTATCTCCAACTGTAATCAGTATAAACTAGACTGTATTGGGCTATATCAGAATAATAAGTAGAACCCAGATTTTGTTAGGCTATCATAGACTCTTATAATATAGTATCAAAGTACAACCTAGGCTAAAATGGGCTCTTTTAGACTTTTTCTAGAAGGAAAATAGATATGTCTCAAATCCTATGTAAAACTGATCAAAAGAGACAAGATAAATGTTAACCAGCTGTATAGAAAATATCTTTCAAAGGTCAAGTTTAACATTTTACTTCATGGATAATAAAATATCTCTCATTCATTTGATATTGGCAATGCATTGTGATAGTCCTTTATAATGTCACTGTCAAACTTGACTTTTCCCTGGTTTAAAGTGCTATCCTTGGGTTGACACATCTCACCACTGCGATCTAATGTGATATCTATGTAACATCAATAAAGTTTTCAGGATCGGTATATGAGGGTATTTAAAATGCTTACAGTTGGTGTGAGTGTCCTGTGGTCGGGGGTCATGGGGGAGGGCAGTGTTGTTTTCCTTGTCCCCATCCAAGTCTCCCTCCACCTCTCTAAACGGCAGGTTTATCTTCCTGATCCGGGCTGGTTCCCTGACACACAAAACAGAATTATATGTAGGTATCATCATCTTCCACTCACAAAAAACATTTCCTACGAACATCCTAGTTAAATGTAGTCAGCCATGACATGCACTCCCCTTACGGTTTGGTGATGGGGTAAAAGTGTGGGTAATGGAAACAGGAATCACACTGCAATGCTGCCACTTTGACTGTTACATTGTATTTGTATGGGAATTAACTGTCTCCATAGTTCACAGTACAGATAACATATCATCAGTATGGTATCACCCATGTGGTTCATGCAAGTCAAGAGTTATGTGGAAGTAAACAGGGTAGTAGTCATTGTCTAGTCTTTAGGTACTAGGTAAGTGCAGCATTGTTGAATTTATAAAAACAAAACAAATAAGCAATGTATATGGTGTTATCAACTATACTAGTTAAGGGAGGATCAGTGGTGTATGGGTGAATGTTTCTTTGTTTGGAGATCAGACGTTGCTTTAATGGTCCTTATTCCTATGTTAGCCTGGAGCATATTGATGCATTCCAGCTGTTTGGATAGAGGTTTTCTGGGCTATTTTTGTATTGTTTATGCTCTACATGGGTTTTGGGCTGTGTGAGTAAGGACCATTGATTGTACTGGCATAAATAAGAATCATTTTCATTTGCACAACATTTTAACTTGTGGGGTTTAACTTTTTACAATACTGAAATATCGTCAGAGACAAATCACTTTGTGAGTTAGTGGTAGATGTAGCGACATACTTGGACCGAGGGGGAGGGCGTACTGGTTGGCCAGAGTCGGACTGATTGGGCTCTGACTGACTTGGCTTGGACTGGCTTGGCTCCTCCAGCAGACTTCCTTGTCCCTCAGTCAGACGCTCCAGGGCAGCCTCTATAGAGCTGGTCGGCTCGGCCCCAAACAATAAAGCCTTTTCCAAAATCTTTCTGGCTTTTATTACATCACCTGAAATTTCATGTTTAAAACTTGTATTGGCTTCATTCATTTAAGCTAAATACAAATATAAACTAGAAAAGAAGGAACAAATTAATTACACCACTTACCATCACAATGAAATAAAGTGACACAACAGGGCAGTCAAATAGATATAATGTAACTTGCCTTTTGTCAACAGTAGCTATACCAGTTGGGTATCCCTCCAGCAAATTCATGCACTCGTGATGAATTTCATTTTATAAAATTGTGTTTTTAAATTTACATGTAAACATTCAAAATACTTTCAGGAGATTTTGAAAAGTCACTAGAATTTCAAAAAAATCTATAACTTTGACTGTAACACCCTGGAACAAGAGAGTTGTTTAAACAGCCCTGTTTGAGACCTCTGATCAGATAACCAAACAACCACTATATTCAACCACAATTCAGGGCAGCTCTGATATAAGCACTTGTACATGAAAACATGTAGAGCATGTCCACTGAAGCCTTACAACACTGACATATTCCTTTACTGTACAGACAAACTACCTACAGCTACTACCTTTGCTTGTTTCTGAGTTGGTATTTGAGCATACCTTGTTTGTACTCAAACTCTGCAGCCATCACATGGACCATGGCAAACCTACGGACAATGGCTCGGGCTTGGTTCATCATCTGAATGGCATCTTCTGGGCAGAACACACTGAGAAAGGTACAACACAGCATAAGTAATGTCAGTGCATTGTATGATCTATAAGACAGTAGCTATGGTATGTTGTATGACCTGTAGGAGTCTAATATTATACAATTATGGACCTCAGGTGAGGTCTATTCCTGATTGTTCAGACCAGGTCCGTAAATCATGAATAGACCAAAACTGAAGCCCACAATTGTTTTATTATATGACATTTTACAATGAGATTAATCATTTTTGATGTCCTAAACACATGGATAGCATGGACCATTTTGGAATCACTATTGAAGGACTTCAAATACAAAATAACATACACAATTTCAGATTCAATTATATTTTTATTTAATATTGTATTAATGTTATATTTAATTTCAAGCAGATATCATTTGCGCATCACATAGTTCAGAATTTGATGAGATAATTCATTTGTAGTTGAATTCAGTAGTGTGATTGGTAACAGATTTACAGACTGGCTAGGATTACCTATATAGGCCTATTTTCATTAGGGTCTGTAATACTCTTCTATTCATAGAACAAGGTCTGTAATAGATGATTTGATTGTCTGTTAATCGATGGCTGGGAAATTACCAAGGCCTAATTTTAGTAGCGGTCTGTAACACTTTTCTTCTTTTAAGTTGAGGTCGATAACCCTTTTTTATTTAAAGGTCGCGGTCTGTAACACTTTTCTATTCACAGAACGAGGTCTGTAACAGATTTACAGACTCGTCACATGATGTCGCTCCTCCAATCAGGGCTGGGAATTAGCACGTGTCATATAATAAACTGTATAATGTGACCTATTGGACAGTAGATATGTTGTTTGACCTATATAGGACAGTATATATAGTGTGTTGCATGGTTTGGTTTAGTTTAATTTTGTTTAATGTCCTATTAACAGCTAAGGTCATTTAAGGATGTGCCTCCATGTGTTTTAGTGTATGCGTGCTTGGAGACAGGGTGTGTTGGTGTGCTTGCCTCCTTGTGATAGCACGGATCTGATGCCAACTTTATAGTGCTACCTCACTGAACTGCCTTGCCGAAGGCACCCAGCCCAGCATTCCTCCCGGTCACATTATACTGACAACAGGTGAACAAGTTGGTGCCATTTTTAAGGACTTTGGTATGTACCGGCCTGGAGACCATTGCCTTCCTCACCTAGGCGAACACTCAACATAAAGACAAAAAGTGCGGTATTGCCAAGCAAAATATTGCAATGGTTGCAGCAGATTTATTGTGGTCGCTTTTGTGTCCCCAAATAGAGGGGGTTCCCACAATATATGCAGTGGGTAACATCAGGTGTATTCTTTTCCCGATCTCCACCTGCAGGGGTGTGGTGTGTTGTATGACCTATAGGACAGTAGATATGGTGTGTTGTATGACCTATAGGATAGTAGATATGGTGTGTTGTATGACCTATAGGACAGTATACATGGTGTATGACCTATAGGACAGTAGATATGTTGTATGATATATAGGACAGTAGACATGGTGTGTTGTATGACATTTAGGATAGTAGAAATGGTGTGCTGTTTGATGTATAGGACAGTAGATTTGGTGTATGACCTTAAGGACAGTATATATGGTGTGTTGCATGACCTATAGGGCAGTATATATGGTGTGTTGTATGACCTATATGACAGTAGATGTGTTGTATGATACATTGGACAGTATACATGGTGTATGACCTATAATACAGTAGATATGGTGTGTTGTATGACCTATAGTACAGTAGATATGGTGTGTTGTATGACCTATATGACAGTAGATGTGTTGTATGATACATTGGACAGTATACATGGTGTATGACCTATAATACAGTAGATATGGTGTGTTGTATGACCTATAGTACAGTAGATATGGTGTGTTGTATGACCTATATGACAGTAGATGTGTTGTATGATACATTGGACAGTATACATGGTGTATGACCTATAATACAGTAGATATGGTGTGTTGTATGCCCTATAGTACAGTAGATATGGTGTGTTGTATGACCTATGGTACAGTAGATATGGTGTGTTGTATGACCTATAGGACAGTAGATTTGGTGTGTTGTATGACCTATAGGACAGTAGATATGGTGTGTTGTATGACCTATAGGACAGTAGATTTGGTGTGTTGTATGACCTATAGGACAGTAGATATTGTGTATGACCTATAGGACAGTAGATATGGTGTATGACCTATAGGACAGTTTATATGGTGTATGACCTATAGGACAGTAGATATGGTGTGTTGTATGACCTATATGACAGTAGATTTGGTGTGTTGTATGACCTATAGGACAGTAGATATTGTGTATGACCTATAGGACAGTAGATATGGTGTATGACCTATAGGACAGTTTATATGGTGTATGACCTATAGGACAGTAGATATGGTGTGTTGTATGACCTATATGACAGTAGATTTGGTGTGTTGTATGACCTATAGGACAGTAGATATTGTGTATGACCTATAGGACAGTAGATATGGTGTATGACCTATAGGACAGTTTATATGGTGTATGACCTATAAAACAGTAGATATGGTGTGTTGTATGACCTATATGACAGTTTATATGGTGTGTTGTATGACCTATAGGACAGTAGATATGGTGTGTTGTATGACCTATAGGACAGTAGATATGGTGTGTTGTATGACCTATATCATAGTAGATATGGTGTGTTGCATGACCTATAGGGCAGTAGATATGGTGTATGACCTATAGGCCAGTAGATATGGTGTATGATATATAGTACAGTAGATATCGTGTGTTGTATGGCATATAGGACAGTAGATATCGTGTGTTGTATGGCATATAGGACAGTAGATATGGTGTGTTGTATGGCATATAGGACAGTAGATATGGTGTGTTGTATGGCATATAGGACAGTAGATATGGTGTGTTGTATGACATATAGGACAGTAGATATGGTGTGTTGTATGACATATAGGACAGTAGATATGGTGTGTTGTATGACATATAGGACAGTAGATATGGTGTGTTGTATGACATATAGGACAGTATACATGGTGTATGACCTATAGGACAGTAGATATGTTGTATGATATATAGGACAGTAGATATGGTGTGTTGTATGACATATAGGACAGTAGATTTGGTGTGTTGTATGATGTATAGGACAGTAGATATGGTGTGTTGTATGACCTATAGGCCAGTAGATATGTTGTATGACCTGTAGGACAGTAGATATGGTGTGTTGTATGGCATATAGTACCGTAGATATGGTGTGTTGTATGATGTATAGGACAGTAGATATGGTGTGTTGTATGATGTATAGGACAGTAGATATGGTGTGTTGTATGATGTATAGGACAGTAGATATGGTGTGTTGTATGATGTATAGGACAGTAGATATGGTGTGTTGTATGATGTATAGGACAGTAGATATGGTGTGTTGTATGATGTATAGGACAGTAGATATGGTGTGTTGTATGATGTATAGGACAGTAGATATGGTGTGTAGTATGATGTATAGGACAGTAGATATGGTGTGTTTTATGATGTATAGGACAGTAGATATGGTGTGTTGTATGACATATAGGACAGTAGATATGGTGTGTTGTATGATGTATAGGACAGTTGTACATGTGTGCCTTGTTACCTCTTCAGCTTGGCACATTCCATGAAGAGCTGAGCGTAAGCCTCATTCCTCTTATTGCTCACAACATCAATTACCTACAAAAATGAATGCGTACAATTCAGTTCAGTGTCTTTGGTTTCATCTATTTATTTCCTCAATTTTATTGAAATAGTGAAATTTTTGCTCTTAGATTTGTTCGTTCTGAGGATAAAAGGTAAAAGTATCATAACCCACCTGATTGACCTCTGTCTTTTGTCCCAGAGTATGGACATAGATTTATATAAAAAAAAAAAATCGTTTGTTTTACAAAAAAAAGTACAGAATACCAATTTCTTAAAAACTTGTGTTTAAATTCTGCATAATTTTCTGTGAAAACAATTCCAAGGTATTGACAGTAACCTGAAGAATATCCATGTATACATGTATTTTAGAGACACTTACCTTGAAGGCTCTCTCATACATGTATTTTAGAGACACTCACCTTGAAGGCTCTCTCATACATGTATTTTAGAGACACTCACCCTGAAGGCTCTCTCGTACATGTATTTTAGAGACACTCACCTTGAAGGTTCTCCTGTACATGTATTTTAGAGACACTTACCTTGAAGGCTCTCTCATACATGTATTTTAGAGACACTCACCTTGAAGGCTCTCTCATACACGTATTTTAGAGACACTCACCTTGAAGGCTCTCTCATACACGTATTTTAGAGACACTCACCTTGAAGGCTCTCTCATTCATGTATTTTGGAGACCCTCACCTTGAAGGCTCTCTCATACATGTATTTTAGAGACACTTACCTCGAAGGCTCTCTCATACATGTATTTTAGAGACACTTACCTTGAAGGTTCTCCTGTACATGTATTTTAGAGACACTCACCTTGAAGGCTCTCTCATACATGTATTTTAGAGACACTCACCTTGAAGGCTCTCTCATACATGTATTTTGGAGACACTTACCTTGAAGTTCCCTTGTTCATGTATTTTAGAGACACTCACCTTGAAGGCTCTCTCATACATGTATTTTAGAGACACATACCTTGAAGGTTCTCCTGTGCATGTATTTTAGAGACACATACCTTGAAGGTTCTCCTGTACATGTGTTTTAGAGACACTCACCTTGAAGGTTCTCCTGTACATGTGTTTTAGAGACACTCACCTTGAAGGCTCTCTCATGCATGTATTTTAGAGACACTTACCTTGAAGGCTCTCTCGTACATGTATTTTGGAGACACTTACCTTGAAGTTCCCTTGTTCATGTATTTTAGAGACACTCACCTTAAAGGCTCTTCCGTACATGGAATTACAGACGTTTCGCCCCAACTTGTTTTCACATCGTCCAAACTTTCAGTATATTTCGCCCCAAATATGACAACCATATCGCCCCAGAAATTCTTTACGCCCCTAAAAATATATTGCCCACCAATTCTTTATCACCCCAACAACAACAAACCTATATATTGAACGATATCTGATCTTGTGAAAGTGGCGGTAGTTATTGCCAGTTTCTCTTGAATATTAATGATTAGGAACATGTAACACCAAGACTCAAATTGGTATTTTTTTTTTACATTTATTTTTTGTTTTAATGTAGTGTATTTTTTAAAAACATTTATTGTTTTGATAAGGTATCAGTTTGCATGTTGATGAAAGAGATCGTCAGTCAATTTGTGAAGTTTGTGATTTTAAAATACATGTTCGAGAGAGGTTTCACGGTGAGTACAATTTGTGAAAAGTAAAAGATATGTCAAATGATGTGCCAATTGAGTTTCTGCCTTTCATATTGCACAATAGGCATTTTTGCCTGGGCTTCATCAGTTGAGAAGCAAAAATACAATTCTTATCCTAAACATATTGAGATATCAGCATGAATGTCAGCTATTTTAAATTTTCCACGATGAAGAACGAAAATGATAAAGTTGGCTTGAAATGTAGAATCACAGAATTATATTAGACGCTATATAAGTCCATGGGAGGATGTAACTTGGCAGAACACATTATAGATTGATTTTTTATCGTTATTCTTTTGAATTAACTAAAGAAAAAATTAAATTACTTATGCTGAAAAAGAAGTAGATCTATATACATGAACAAATATAAGTACATACTCTCTAGTCCGAATTATTCTGACGTTTTATCGACTTTTTTCATATCGGTCTGTCGTCGATAAACGTCAGAACTCCGGCCCTCTATAATATGCGGGAAATATGCGACCCGCGCCCGGAGCGCACTTCAAACTGATATTTTAGAAACAAATCGTCACTTTCACACACATGTCGCAAATGGATCGAAAGATCTATTCTTTATGCACAAGATGAACATACATAACATGCCTCAAACAACCAATACAATCAGTAAAAACTTATTTTTTTCAAACTTACTCTGTTTTATTTTAGTTTTTTGATAGCCCCGCTTTCTAATGCCACGTGACTAAAATCTCGCCGGCCTAGGTCATAACGTTGGGAAATACCTTTGGTAACGCGAGATCTCGTCATTGCTCATGGCCTAATTTCCATTAAAAACATGGGTTGGTATAGAAAACGTTGGAAAATACTTTTAGTAATGATCTTTAAAACATGTTATTGATACCACCTAGTGCATAAAGAATAGATATTTCGATCCATTTGCGACATGTGTGTGAAAGTGACGATTTGTTTCTAAAATATCATTTTGAATTGCGCTCCGGGCGCGGGCGCATATTTCCCGCATATTATAGAGGGCCGGAGTTCTGACGTTAATCGACGACAGACCGATATGAAAAAAGTCGATGAAACGTCAGAATAATTCAGACTTATACTCTCTCTCTTGCAGCACACATAACGTCTTGTTGTTTTTGGTTTGCGATCTACGGCACACATGTATAAAATCTAATTATTTTATACTTATATATTATCTAAAATCAACAAACACTGCCTAACATAGATACTATAGATATGTCATACATGCCATATCTCACGATTTAGGCGTGAGACTCACGAAAAACAACCTTCCAAAATGTCTCACGGCATGGGAACCCATTTTCACGCTTTTTGTTGCAAATAATTTGGTCTCACGAAAAGAAACAAATTTGGTCAATCTTAGTGAATAAACGATAGCTACATGGATTCACACTGACCTTGGTCAACGCGAGGTCTGAAGTCACACGCCAGCCACTCAAATCACAGGCCAGGCCAATTAGCATGCAGCATAGGTGTGAAAGTTCTGAACGGCCCAGCCAGCCGATTTAGCGGGGCTTTGCTTGATGACTTGCTCACCGATGTGTGAACTGTTAAGCAATTAAATCAGTGATCCCACATCCAGTGGGGGCTAGTTGCTAATTAATATGTGATGACAGTTGATATTAACATTAAACAGCAACATAAGGAGATGTCAGAGCTGTTTTAATACCGAAACGGAAATGTTGGAGGTGACTATAAAATCGAAACCGGACACTGACATTGAATCTGGAATTCATTCTCTTGCCGTCGTGATGGGATTAAGTGTTAATGAAAATAACATAAACAGAAGAAAACATGTTTCTTCAGAATTGGCTATATAAAAATAGTATTTATTGGTTATTTTTTCCCCAACAAATTAGAATTAAATATTCCCAATGTTTTGAGAAGTATTTTTTTTAACCTGGGTTAATAAGGACATCCCTGTGAAATTTCTTCTTTTTTTAATTACTATTATTTTTGCCTTTTATGTGGTTTATTTACTTTTAAATATTGATAGCTTTATCTGGACCGTATGTCACATGTAAACCTTCCTAAAATCCTTTAAAATATCAAAAGATCTTCAATTTTGGCTCTAACAAAGTAATTAGAGGCTTCAGAATATCACAAATGATTCAATACTATGATATATGCTATATAATTTATGTTTTAAATGTCTTACGAATTTCTCACGAATTCAGAGAAAAAATATCACTATTTTTTACCAAATCTCACTAAAAATAATCACTGATCTCACTATTTTGCACCGGAAAGTTATGGCATGTATGATATGTTACGATATCGATCGAACGTATCGAACGTTACAGCACAGAAATCATGTCCCAAAATTTGTCAAATAAGTGAATTTTTTTGGGGCGTTGTAGTTTTTTGGGGCAAAATAGTTGGGGCGTTATGGTTTTTTGGGGCGAACATGTTGAGGGGATGTGAATCAAATTTGGGGCGTAACAGCTTAGGGCGTTACGGTTTTGGGGCGAATCATCTTAGAACCCCCCCTACGTACATGTATTTTAGAGACACTCACCTTGAAGGCTCTCTCGTACATGCCAGAAAGGTAGTTGTGTTTCTTGACCTCGTTTGGAAAATCTGTGTTCTGGCTGACATAGCGTGTGTACTCCAGCCAGTCCTCTGCACGGTTACCCTGGAACTCAATCTTGTTCAGCCATGTTTGATTTTCTACAATACAGTATACATACATTGTACATATAGTAGCTTATCCCAAGTAAAATAGCATTTTACATCTCCACTACATTGCACTGCTACATGTTAAGTGGAAATGTAGATGAAATGATATCAATATAAATAGTGAACTTGTTTACCTGCATATGGCAGTGGCAGAGGTTACATTGATTATGTTAGAATTACTGGGAGAAGAGAAGAAGTTAAACAACTTGGAAGATATTGTTCTTCTTTTGAGTTAGATCACATTACTAAAATGCATGTAATCAAATCTTTTCGAACAAAAATCAGGAAAAAAATATCACTGCAGTATTACATATATTATAAATTAAAACAAAAGTGCCAAAATTTGCTTTGAAAAGATATCAACTTGAATACAGTTGGACAAAAACTAGCATTTCCATGTGTATCCACAATGCCACTAAATGAAATGTAGTACAGTATAACCAAAAAAATAACCATTGTTTCAGTTTAAATTAGGCAATGCTGGTGTGCCAGCTAAGTTGAATATGTATTTGTTCTTCACATGATGTGTGTAATTAGATGTGTTCAAAAACTAGGGAATTTCAAATATCAGTATGTGAAATCATATAAATCTAAATGTCTTTTAGTTTTGGAAGAAAAAGATAACATTATGGTGAGCTACAATCAAGTTTTAGTTTTAATTAAGATCCTGTTCTTCCTGTGACATTTAGTATTTTACCTGTTATTTCTATTGTGCCTGTACATGTGTCTCCCTTTGCTCTGCTGTCCTCAGGACTTGTATCATTTCTTATCACACTGATGGAACCCCCTGAGTCATTCTGAGGTCTTCCATCTAAACAAGCAAATCGACGTCGCAAGTCAGCCAGTGATGTCATCTTGGCTCTGAATAATAATTTTCAAACAATCAAACATTAAAATGAAAAAAAAACTTGACTTACCAGGATGAAATGTTTACAACCGATGTGTGGACAATTTCTGTCACAAAATGACAGAAATATCAAATATGGAAATGGGTAATCTTCAAGCATAAGACAGCTTTTTACAAAGAGCAGCTTGAGCTAGTACAGCTTAAGAGAAACTAATGAATCATTCAGATGATTATCCTGATATAGTATTATATTCCATATATATACAGTAACATTATATATATATACAACAGTGACCTCCTCATTTCATTTTAATTGGTTAAAACTGTAGCACAATTGGGCCAATGCACTTTCCTTGACTATAGCATAGATGTTTGAAAATCTGACTGTAATGGTATAACTATGGTACTATTCCTGCTTTTAACATGCATGTGCTATCATTAAACTGTTTTCTGATTATTTTAGTAGTTCAATGTATATAGTTTTGCTGCAAAATCTGTTCTACTAGCAGTAGCATGCCTTTTGCCTTGTTATTACTCTGGTTTTATACTTATGTTTGTCGTAAAAATAGCTCCACAGAGCTAATGTTCAATGTTATGCCATATACGACACTAAGTAAAGCTACTTGTATCTTGTACCATGATGTTCAAGTTTCAAAACCTGGTCTAGCTCATTGCATTTTTACACTCAGAAAACTGTTGTTGGTTATATTTTATTTATTGTACAGTGTTATTATTTTTTCTTCATAAAAAATCTTTACGGTAGGGTTTTCATTTCATGCCAGAAAATGTTAGCAATGGTACGGGGATCCTTAAACAACAGTGACGAAAAACAACAAATGCAACGGTGCATTTGGAAATATTATATAATAAACACTTACAACGGGCCGCTTACAACCCCCGTCACGGTATCACTCCTAAATGGGCACGTCTAATAACTATGTTTTATTGGATATTTCATCGTATCCAAGTAGTTTTGGGTACTGTATGGGGTAGTATGGCCTGACTTATGAGGTATTTAAGACTACTGTAAATATTGCTGATAGTGATAAACAACGTAAAGCATGAAACAGTTTGCCGAAATTGTACGGACGTCTAGCTAGGCCTATATGATACCGTTTTTACGAATGGCATTCGATGTATTTTGTTTGCAATATTTAACCAACAAGGGTATTAGTCTGATTCGCGATCATAATTTATTATAAAGTATTAGAATACGGACGAGACGAACACATGGAACAGGGGACATTGTATTTGTTTTCGTCTATTGTCAGTGACTGGGTTACACCAGCTGTATACATTGATTTCATTACGATTTCCTAAAATCTCTGTCCATAGAATAGAGTGTCCTATACACATCCTTCAAACTACATTGTTTACTATGAATCCGATGATGGAAAGACAAACATCGAGTTATTTTCTCGGTTTCCTTACATACCTTTAGCATCTTCTATATCATACGTCGCGGTCTTCCACTTCGAAATGTTACGCCCCAGATGATTGGATGAGAACATTTAAAACCACTACTTTGATTGGTTAATTTGCAGCTAAGGGCATTAACTCTTCCGGAAGTATTCACCGGATGTTGACGTTTTCACCGACTTGTCAATTTTTAGGTTATTTTTATAGCTAAATGACAAAGTGCTGCTCTATCTAGTTACAAGCTGCATTAACTTTTACACGGAAAATTAATATTTATTTGTCATTGTTAGATTTATGTTAATGCACGAAAGAAAATGTTACTTTTAAACTCATAAAACATGTGCATATTTTGGGCGTTCAGGTGTCACGATCTCGCAGTGACAGAACGGTAGCCCAGAGCCCAACTCTCTTTCATTATCGTTATATCTATATATCACTGTCAGCTGCGTCGGTTATTCATGCTTTGCAAAATCTTTTCATGCAAATCCATTATGGAGTTATAAGGAATTCGTTGGTTACCAATATTATTATAAAAATATTGACAGCGATAAAATTGCAGACTTGTCAAAGTGAAATCAGTGTTATGGTGCTTAAATTGTAATTTCTGCAACCCATGACTTAACACAACATGGATACAGATATGTCTGCAAGCGGAGGAGGTGACCCGCAACCGTACATTAACGAAGGTTTGCGTTTGTTTAACACTTTACATAACACTTGAGTGTGTCTTGATAGCACTGTCGCTGTTGAATAAATTGCAGCCATAGATACTTGCAATGAACCTATTTTATATAGGTTTTCATGAAAAAAGTTGGCTCAGATTAGAACATGCTAATATGAAATATTCAGGCATGTGTGCACTGTTTCTTGTTTCACTTTTTAAAAAAACATCTGGTTGGTAGGTAAGGGAATATTGTATTATAAAATATCTACTGTACTGGGGTTGAAAGAGCTTGAATATCCTAAAAAGGTTACAGGAACTACAACTATGTATATGAAAGGTTGATTGGGGCTGTATTATCTCCTTTAATAAGATTTGTTAGTTTAGAAATACATATGTATTTAATTTTACTTTAGATGCAAACAATATCTGTTTCTAAACATTTTCTTCAGGTTGGTAAGTATGGATTATGAAAATTTCTTTTTCACACAACCATACAATTTTCTATGTGACGTTTCGATGACTAGTACGATATGTACACTGTAACAAAACAAAAAAAGGCCAATCAAGGATAAGAACAAAACCAAAAATCAAGTGGTCATCCCATATATAAAAGGTATATCTGAAACCATCCAGAGGATATATTGACGTCATGGCATAGCAACAGCCATGAAGCCCCATAAGACGCTTCGCAATATCCTAGTACACCCTAAGGATAAAAAACCTAAAGAAAACTTTGCAGATCGTGTATACAAAATTGGATCCAAAAACTGTGACGCGTTGTATATTGGAGAGACTGGAAGGTATTTTGGGGTCTGCCTAGGTGTACACCAGAAACCAAAGAGTCCCAGATAAATAAATCGGCAATCACAGACTATGCCACACAGAAAAATCATGTGGTTGACTGGCATAATTCCAAAGTTTTGGACAAAGAGAGCAATCTGTTAAAGCGGCAGATAAAGAAAGCCATCTGGATACACCACAGTGGGCCAGTTCTAAATCGAGATGATGGGGCTCAAAGACTTTCGCACATCTATGACATATGCTTACAGCTTAGCCGAAATCGACATCAATTTTGTGGACAACTCATACACATTTTACACCTTTGTGTGCATACCTCTTCACTGGTCATTTCTTACTAGTCATTGAAACGTCACATAGAAAATTTTATTGGTTGTGTAAAAAAGAACTTTATATAATATATCCATATGTTGTATAAATGTGTCCCATATTTTAATGAGCAATTTGACTATCACTTGACATCTGAACATTTTGCCCATTGATGGAGAGTGCATACAAACTGTGTTCAACAGATTATATGATGGGTGAAGAGCTATCCCCGTCTCTAATTTGGTCTTTAGTGTGTCAAATATGATCGATGCCTTATCATACAGAAGACTTTGAGGGGATTTGATTGAGATATATGAGATAGTGAACAAGATTTACAACAGAAACATCTGTAACTTTAAGCTTTGGAATGATGATACCACCAGAACAGCACAAGGAGAAACTAGAAGAAAATATTTGCATGTTCGTCATCAAAAAATTCAACATCATCAATTTACATGTTGTATCCATCTGCATGTTAATTATGAGAAGAGATTAATGTGGGTGCTCTAGTACAATTAAGGGTTTTTGGGTCTTATATAATTATATATAATTAGGGCATATTGAAGAAACCAAAATAGATCTCCTGGCCCTGTTGATATCCTGGCCCTGTTGATCTCCTGGCCCTGTTGCAATGCTGGGGCTTCCATTTTGTTCTCTTCTATTCTACCTACTTTTGTTTGTTTTCAGCTATGTCTCCCTAGGCAACCATCTTCATATGATCTTGGGTGTGTGAAGGTATCGTTAAGCCCCAATGAAACCAAAACTCTACATACATGTGTATAGTGTATATTTTGAAAGACACTTCTTGAGTCAATAGTCCTAAATTTTGTGTTCATACTGGCTGCATTGATAATGACATTTGTTTACATCAGACTCATCTATTCCATCTGTTGGAATGACAATTATATAAATGTATGGTTGGATTTAACTGGATGTTACATCTGTAAAATGTTGTCCTTAACGGTTTTAATTTTTGCTCCATCCTTTCCACAGATTTTCCCTCAGATGGAAATGAAGATGGCCAACTCTTTGAAAGTACAGAGGAGCCAGAATTTGAATTCGATGAAAGTGGCTTAGAACTTGCAGCAGATGACGGTAATATTATTGATGAATTCAATTTTTATTACATCATGAGATTTTTATTGACAAAATGTTTTCACTGTTGCAATATTGTACTATAAGAGCTTGTGTCAGCGGTCCATGTGGCTTTTTATCAGGAAGTTATTAACATAATTCTGTATATCATACAAATCAAATGTAAAATAGAATTGTTTTTAAACAGAAAAAGAAATTTCATTGTGACATATTTAGAAATATCAAATTTAGGAATATTTTTCTTAAGCAGTCGGGTTTGATCCTTTAACAAATGTTTGCATGTTGCATTGTGTAATTTAATCATATAAACTGTGCATGAATTAAAGTGATAGATAACATAATTAAAATTGTCATTAGCTCTACAATATCCCCACTTAAACCAGATACTGAATTGTTAGGAAAAGGTCAGCAGCATGGGGCAATTAGAAAAACGTTAACTCATGACAGTCACATCTGTACTGTATAGATATTCCTCATAAAGCCCAATCTATTGTGTATTATAAATATTTCTACTATTTTTTCTCTCTCTCAAATGACACTATCCGAATGTTAGTCTAGTATTACAGTCTAGAGCACTAGGGAACCAACCACAGGTACATGTTTACATATTACAGTCTAGAGCACTAGGGAACCAACCACAGGTACATGTATAATTATTACAGTCTAGAGCACTAGGGAACCAACCACAGGTACATGTATAAGTATTACAGTCTAGAGCACTAGGGAACCAACCACAGGTACATGTATAAGTATTACAGTCTAGAGCACTAGGGAACCAACCACAGGTACATGTATAAGTATTACAGTCTAGAGCACTAGGGAACCAACCACAGGTACATGTATAAGTAATTATATAAAGTACAGGTTCCTAACACTCTCAACAACATTTGTGATAGATCTGAAATAATGTGAAGTTTAAAGTGATATAATTCACATCTGATTCTTTGACTGAAGTACAATCAATTCAGTGTAATTTATCATTGACAGTGGGGTAGCTAGTATGGTAGTTGCTGTACGCATGTGTTTTCAATTGTTTATATTAGTGATTTGTGTGTTTGATTTCTAGGAGACATGGAGTGTAAGTCTATTTTCACTTTGTTGATTGCATTTCTATAATTTACTTTCATTTATAAGCTATACTGAACCTAACTTTATTTTCGATGGTATATATAGATATCAGTGATTGGTCTACAACCACATATTCTGTGTTATTACAAGATGTTGTATGACACTGGTTATAACTAGCAGAAGCAATTTGCTGTACAATATACCTCCTTTGAGAGGTGGACATGTTTTATAGGAGCACACACTCAGGGCCCTACCCCTGACATGCTCCTATTTGTCTAAGACATTGAAATGTTTTATCTGAAATTATAATAATAATTTGCAGAAACTGTTTTGATATTTTTACAGAAATGTCATTGTGGTCATTGTTTGGAAGTAAATAACATGCCTGTGAAACTAAAGACCATATTAGTAATATAAAAAATCCACATATTCCTTATTTTTTTGTATGTTGAATTGATATGAATTGATACAATTTTATCAAAAACTTAACCACATCATGATCACTGCTTAGCTTTTTGTAATATTATTGGTTGGATATTCTCAGCTCATTTTAACATTAATAATAAAATGTTCCTTGTTTGGTACCCAACAAGTCTTCTGCCTTTTTGTGCTAATCCAAAACTCCAAGATGGAATCAGTATTCTTCTCTCAGGATCACCCTAGATAGTACCAATAGAGGGCAATACACTGAAATCCATCAAGGTATTTGGGAAAAGGGACCCTGATGGTCCGAATTAAGAAAATCATTTGTAGCAATATTTGAAAAGGGTTTTTAAACATTGAATTAAAACATAAAATGACTTATTTGTTTGTATTATTGCTTTAAAAGGGACTTAACCTGATGTAATTCTTTATAAAAAAAAAAGATCTAGACAATTTGAAAAAGGAACAAATGTACTTAAATTTTCATACGCCTATCAAAACTTTTGATGGAACGTATTATGGTATGGGAAGCATCGATCCTTCTGTCTGAGTTCCATCATGATGTGATCTGTGCATGTTTACACACAATTAATCAGGCTTCAAAAAGACTGCATCTAATACATGTCCTGAAAGTGGGGGGTATGAATTCCACAAATTTGTTCGTTTATTTTACTTCCATAACTATTTAATGTAGATTACAGAATTGTGTTGGACCTGGAGTCCGATTTGTCACTGTTCACCACCTAGATGTCAACAGCACATGGATGTAATACACAACATTTTAGTTGAACACAAATGATTTTTGCAGTGTTTTCACAGACACGTACCTAATGAACATTTGGTTGCTGTGAATTATTGTTTTGTCAATGGTTGATACAGATTTTCACTGAATTGGTGATTAATTGCTATCAATTAGTAATATGTAGGTTTTGTATTCCTGGGTATAAGGAACAATGGCAGCCAGCTATGCAGCTAGTGTTTACTTATGTGTTGTTTTTGTTGTACATCAGCTGCTTGTGACTTAGAGGAAGAGCTGAGAGGTAAATATTGGGGAAATTAGCACCAATTCTGTACAGATCACTAGAAAATCACTGTCACAAGCTTTACATATATGTACAGACAACGCCTTGTGTGACGATGGCTGTACCAGCTGCCTTACTCGTCAGTTGGGTCCATGTCAACTTAACCTCCTGTTGTACATACTTTTGTAAAACATTGTGATAATGATTTTTAATACCTTTATTATTACAATATTAAAAACACCGGGTCAATTCCTGTACCCTAATTATCTTTTTTTATGCTTTGTCCAACATACTTTCCATTTACTTATGGTAAATAAATTCCTTCAAGATATTTGATAGATTTCCTCCAAATTTGGCATGAAGCTTTTGGTAATGGGTTTTATTATCATGACATGATATGCTGATTCAATTCGTTTTGTGTTATGTCATTCTTACCAGACACTATCGGATGTTCATTTTAGTAGGTCAACATTACATGGTACTGTTATGAGCACTTTTAACGGAACACAAACACAACGGCGCTTTCATGAACATGTTCAGTGTGGTATACAAAAAGTCTGATCTTCAAAGTCTGTATCTGTTGACCACAACAACCTAAACTTGATCGGTTGCCATTCAGACTCTACCACTACACACCTGTATTTACTGTCTCCATGGAATCAGCTATCTGTTTGGAATTTCTAATGCAATTTTATATTTTTGGCTCAAAAAGGTTCCAGAATGATTTGAAGATTGTTTAAAACCTCTTTCTCTCAAAATAAATAAATAAAACAAATATATAATTCATGGTAAAACTCCTTTAATGCGAGTTTATTGACTTAGTATCATATAGTTCAACACTTGTGTACCCATACCTTTCTTTGGTGAGCTTAACTAAAAGTTCTCTGTAGGTTCCAAGTAATATCGCTGTGCAATATTCCAACATAAGTGGCGTCCTTTAACCCTTTCACCCCTATGTAACTTTAGTAGACTCTACCATGCATTGATATGGATGAGTCCATTATGGTTTACAGTGGTGAAAGGGTTAAGGTATATTCTTGTGCCGTGTTTTCCCCTGTGCATCCTGACCACCTAAAGCTGTATAACTGAGCTGTATCCATTGATAGAGCAGTTTGTCCTGGTGGTTGGATAGTTTTAGGTTTGCTGCCTTTATCTTGTCTTATTTCTATCTATGTGTTTAAATGTGTCTTTCATGAAAGTAGAAAGATTATATCTTCTGCAGGACTTGTACAAAACCAGTATAGAAAGTAATTATTTGTGCATGAAAGAGGTTTTTAGGGAAGTTTTAATGCTCGGTTGTTTTGTGCTTTCCATTTTAGATATGTATGGGAGTACAGGAAATACTTTACCACTGTTACCCTGGGAGGTGGACTTGTGTAATTTATCAGTATACATCTGATCAGTTTTACCTGTCCTATTTTATTGCTATTTACTAAAACTCGGCAGGATTCCTTTCATCAGCCGTCTCTTTCTATACCTTTTCAGTGGATACCGAGTTTCACTGTGAGGAAGTTTACATGTAAATAAAAGCAAACTACAGTGCAGTTATGTTGGAATGTCGATATTTAATATATAACATTTTTAGCTCACCTGTCCGAAGGGCAAGTGAGCTTATGCTGTGCGCAACGTCCGTCGTCCGTCGTCCGTCGTCCGTCGTCCATCGTCGTTCGTCGTCCGTCGTCAACTTTTTCTTTAAAACCTATCTCCTACTAAACACCAAAGAGGATTTCAACGTAATTTAGTCTGAAGCATCACTAGGGGAGGGCAATCATTTCTTAAATAAATAGGGGTGGTTCGACCCCTGGGGCCAGGGGGTCGGGGCCCTTAGGGGAACTTTGCTAAATTTGCTTTAAAACACATTTCCTAATTATAAACGCCAAAGAGGATTACAACCAAATTTAGTCTGAAGTATCACTAGGGGAGGGGAATCATTTCTGTAATAAATGAGGTTGGTTTTACCCCTGGGGCCAGGGGGGCAGGGCCCTGAATGGGAACCTAGCTATATTTGCTTTAAAATGCATCTCCTCCTAAACGCCTGAGAAGATTTCAACCAAATTTAGTCTGAAGCAACACTAGGGGAGGGCAATCATTTCTTAAATAAATGAGGATGGTTCGACCCCTGAGGTCAGGGGGGCGGGGCCCTGAAGGGGAACTTAGCTATATTTGCTTTAAAACGCATCTCCTCCTAAACGCCCCAGAGGCTTTCAACCAAATTCAGTCTGAAGCATCACTAGGGGAGGGCAATCATTACCTAAATAAATGAGACTGGTTTGACCCCTGAAGCCAGAGGGGCGGGGCCCTTAATGGGAACTTAGCTAAATTTGCTTTAAAACGCATCTCCTGCTAAACGCCAGGGAGGATTTCAACCAAATTTAGTCTGAAGCATCACTAGGGGGGGGGGGGGGGCAATCATTTCTTAAATAAAGGAGGAGGGATCGACCCCTGAAGCCAAGGGGGAGGGGCCCTGAAGGGGTACTTAGCTAAATTTGCTTTAAAACTAACTCCTCCTAACCACCAGTGAGGATTTCAACCAAATTTAGTCTGAAGCATCACTAGGAGAGGGCAATCATTTCTTAAAGAAATGAAGTTGGTTAGACCCCTGAGGCCAGGGGGGCAGGGCCCTGAAGGGGAACTTAGCTATTTTTGCTTTAAAACGCCATCCTAAACGCCAGAGAATATTTCAACCAGATTTGCTCTGAAACTTCATTGGGGGAAGGCAATCATTTCCTAAATAAATGAGACTGGTTCGACCCCTAAGGCTAGGAAGACTGGGCCCCAAAGAGGAAAATTATCTAATATTTTGATTTAAGAAGCTAATATTCCCCTAATTGCCTGAGTGGATTGTACAAAATTTGGTCAAAAACATTATTGAGGAAGAACAAACATTTCTTAATTGAATGAGGTTGTTTTGACCCCTGCGGTCCTAAGAAATGGTACAGCTAGATTATCATATTCTATGGTGTAGTTTTCATAAATTGTTAAAAACTGGTTTCTAGGTTTATAAAAGCCTATAGTTGAATGAAAATTTAAGTATTGCCTAATTACACCCTGTAATATGACATATTACTTATTTCAAAATCTGTTAACATGGCAACTCAATGGAGGCCTCTGATTAGTTGAAAGTCAGATATTGTGGTCCCAGTACTAATGCATTAAGTTGTAATGACTTAAATATAAAACCAGGTGAGCGATACAGGTCCAATGGACCTCTTGTCTTGCATGTTCTCATGGACTTTTTTTCTGTAGTCCATCATTCAAGCATTTTAGAAAGAGATGAATATGCAGGAGTTTTTCTCTGACTTACTGTTCTTGCGTGTACATGTGATGAATTCGCACAACACCTGTAGTCCTAGATCAATACAGGTTAGAGCTTTAGATTAATATTTCACAGGACACTCTTAACAAACCTACTGCTGTATATTGGGTGTCCTTATACATTGTAACAGTCAAGTTTTTGAAATATTTATAAAAATTGGAAATTTTGTGTAAAATCTCCAAATTGTAACTTACAATTTTCATGTTCACATGGAACATCCTGTTTTACCACAGACTTTGATTGATTTCTGTTTGATAGCTACAACAGCTGGTCTGCATGTATAAGTAGACAGTGTCTGACACATGTCTATAGATGAATGTGCACTGCTAGCCCGGCTAACCATTGAGTGTGATTTTCTGATCTTGTATACCTATCAGTAATATATGATTATAGCATTATACTGTACCAGGGTATGTTGCTGACAGTGCATGTTCTCAGACTTGTCACTGATATAAACACCTATATTGATGTTTAACAGGCGATCAAATGTTCAGTATAATGCATGTTCTCAGACTTGTCACTGATATAATCACTTATATATTGATGTTTAACAGGCGATCAAATGTTCAGTATAATGCTCTACCTCATTCATTTATTAAACAATATGCATAAATGTTAATTACTATATTTCTTTGAAAAGGTGAATTAAAATGAAAAACGTGACTATTGTTAACAGCAATATTGATATAGTACAGCAATTTGCTAGTCATTTGGTGTATTTTCTTGTAATTAAATGATACAGAATGCTGTGACACAGATTACGTATGAGGTGGAGGTTGTCATGCTAGGTCATAGGTTCACGTCACCACTTCTACAATAAGTGTGTTCTCTCAGATTATATAAAGGTATATGTATTTGAATGCTTTATGAATCAGTGTCAGATATCAAGGTTAATGTTATCAACAGACTCATTTCAGTTTCCTAGTACATATACTAAATGTATTATTTGAAGAAGTAGTTGTCATGTAATCAAATCTGCACCTGGGATAAGTTAAGAATTTCCTTGAAGGTGATTTTAATTATTAAATCTTTGTATCACAAATATAAAAAATCTGATTTTAGACTTAGCCAGGGAGAATTCAGAAGGCAGTGCCTTCCAGAGTGGCTCTATAACTCCTGATGGACTCATTGATGAAGACTTCGAAAAAGAGCTGGGAACACCGTCTGTAAGTATTGTATTAGTCAAAGTGAGTTGTTTCAGGTCAATACCATTAATTAGATACACCGTCTGTAAGTATTGGATTAGTCAATGTGAGTTGTTTCAGGTCAATACCATTAATTAGGTACACTGTCTGTAAGTATTGTATTAGTCAATGTGAGTTGTTTCAGGTCAATACCATTAATTAGATACACCGTCTGTAAGTATTGTATTAGTCAATGTGAGTTGTTTCAGGTCAATACCATTAATTAGGTACACTGTCTGTAAGTATTGGATTATTGTTTTGTACACGTATAAGGTCAATTTAAGTTTACTTTTCAGATCTATATTGTTATTTAAGAACACCATCTGTAAGATTTCATTTTGGTTGATACTATATATAGGTAAGGGTATTTACAGTCATTTTGACATCTCACCTACAATTTAAGTGTCAAATCCTGTACCAGAAATAGGTTAAAGATACAGCTGTACCTTAATGTGTTGAATCAAAGCCTGTGTTTCTATGGTAACAGGATGGTGAGGAGGAAGATGAAGGGGAGTTTCAGGATGTAGCCCAACACAATATTCTTGAAGTTGCAGGTAAAAAAATTGTTCTGAAATTACATATAAAGATTACTCAGTGTTTGATAAAAGTTGACCAATCACATTATGCTAAGGTCATAGGCTAAGAATGTGCTCAATAGAGAGCAATATCAATTTTACCTAGTAAACTATAGAGAAATTCTTTTTATGTACGATTTAGCATATTAAGAGTTCTGAATCTTGTACCCAACTCTTTGCTGCTGATAAGAAGTTTTTCTCACTTTCTTAGGGGATGATGTTTATGGTCGAAAGGTGATCATCTTCTCCTCATGTAAGCTTCCATCTAGTGAGAAGTTAGACCATCAGCGACTGTTCCTGTAAGTGATAAAGGAAGTCCTGCTACTTGATTACTGAAATCATGGCAATTGTATAAATTGAAATCTATAAATCAGTACATGTGATGTGCATTAAATACAAAGCTTCTGTACTATTTGACTATATGTTTGTCACCTAGGAAGTAATCATATAGGCTTATAATGATAATATTAAAAAATATTTTCTTATGTATGAGAGACATATATGAGGTGTTGATTTTCGACTCTTACAATTCAGTGTCTTTGCTCTGAAAAAGTCTAATCACCTCTTTGTTATTCTTTATGTAATATTATAAGCCGAAAACAGGCATAGTCAAACCTGTCTATATAAGGCTTTGAATATCACTTTGTTTTGGACAGATATTTGAAGCACACATTGGACCAGTATGTGGAGAATGACTATGTGATTGTGTACTTTCACTACGGATTGACCAGCAAGAACAAACCCAAGCTGTCATGGCTGCTACAAGTGTACCGTGAGCTAGACAGGAAGTAAGTTGTCTGTAGTGTATGTAGTCTCAGACAGGAAGTAAGTTGTCTGTAGTGTTTGTAGTCTCAGACAGGAAGTAAGTGGTCTGGAGTGTATGTAGTCTCAGACAGGAAGTAAGTTGTCTGTAGTGTATGAAGTCTCAGACAGGAAGTAAGTTGTCTGTATTGTATGTAGTCTCAGACAGGAAGTAAGGTGTCTGTAGTGTATGTAGTCTCAGACAGGAAGTAAGGTGTTTGTAGTGTATGTAGTCTCAGACAGGAAGTAAGTTGTCTGTAGTGTATGTAGTCTCAGACAGGAAGTAAGGTGTCTGTATTGTATGTAGTCTCAGACAGGAAATAAGTTGTCTGTATTGTAGGTAGTATCAGACAGAAATTAAGGTGTCTGTAGTGTATGTAGTCTCAGACAGGAAGTAAGGTGACTGTATTGTATGTAGTCTCAGACAGGAAGTATGGTGTCTGTAGTGTATGTAGTCTCATACAGGAAGTAAGGTGTCTGTATTGTATGAAGTCTCAGACAGGAAATAAGTTGTCGGTAGTGTATGTAGTCTCAGACAGGAAGTAAGTTGTCTGTAGTGTATGTAGTCTCAGACAGGAAGTAAGTTGTCTGCAGTGTATGTAGTCTCAGACAGAAAGTAAGGTGTGTAATGTATGTAGTCTCAGACAGGAAGTAATTTGTCTGTATTGTTTATAGTCTCAGACAGGAAGTAAGGTGACTATTGTAAGTGGTCTCAGAGAGGAATTAAGTTGTCTGTATGGTATGTAGTCTCAGACAAGAAGTAAGGTGTCTGTATGGTATGTAGTCTCAGACAGGAAGTAAGTTGTCTGTAGTGTAGGTAGTCTCAGACAGGCGGTAAGGTTTCTGTATTATAGGTAGTCTTCGACAGGCGGTAAGGTGTGTAGTGTATGTAGTCTCAGACAGGAAGTAAGGTGTCTGTATGGTATGTAGTCTCAGACAGGAAGTAAGGTGTCTGTATGGTATGAAGTCTCAGACAGGAAGTAAGTTGTCTGTAGTGTATGTAGTCTCAGACAGGATGTAAGGTGTGTAGTGTATGTAGTCTTAGATAGGAAATAGTTTGTCTGTAATCTATATAGTCTTAGATAGGAAGTAAGTTGTCTGTATTGTATGTTGTCTCAGACAGGATGTAAGGTGTGTAGTGTATGTAGTCTCAGACAGGAAGTAAGTTGTCTGTAATGTATGTAGTCTCAGACAGGAAGTAAGTTGTCTGTATTGTATGTAGTCTCAGACAGGCAGTAAGGTGTCTTTATTGTAGGTAGTATCAGACAGGAAGTAAGGTTTCTGTATTGTATGTAGTCTCAGACAGGAAGTAAGTTGTCTGTAGTGTACATAGTCTCAGACAGGAAGTAAGTTGTCTGTAGTGTATGTAGTCTCAGACAGGCGGTAAGGTGTCTTTATTGTAGGTAGTATCAGACAGGAAGTAAGGTTTCTGTATTGTATGTAGTCTCAGACAGGAAGTAAGTTGTCTGTAGTGTACATAATCTCAGACAGGAAGTAAGGTGTCTGTAGTGTATGTAGTCTCAGACAGGAAGTAAGGTGACTGTAGTGTATGTAGTCTCAGACAGAAATTAAGTTGTCTGTAGTGTATGTAGTTTCAGACAGGAAGTAAGTTGTCTGTAGTGTAGGTAGTCTCAGACAGAAATTGCGTTGTCTGTAGTGTATGTAGTTTCAGACAGGCAAAAATAACCTCCATTCAGTATTTAGAGGATCATCCACAGAAAGTAACCTATCTGTATTATATAAAAGTCAAGTTACATTAGAACAGTTAAGATAGGAATAGTCTAGTTCTGTCAGCCCTGTACTCCAGCTATTGTTGTTAATATTTGTGTAGGTATAAGTTATTGTCTGCCCTGTACTCCAGCTATTGTTGTTAGCTCACCTGCCCGAAGGGCAAGTGAGCTTATGTTTTGGTGCGGCATCCGTCTGTCAGTCCGTCCGGCGTCTGTCGTCCGGCGTCTGGCGTCCGTCTGTTCGGCGTCCGTCTGTCCGGCGTCAACTTTTTGCTTTAAACAACTTCTTCTCAATAACCAAAAGGCCTAGGTAGATGATATTTGGCCAGTAGCATGCTGGGATCAAGGGCTACCAAGTTTGTTCAAATAAATGACCTTGACCCACTTTCAAGGTCACAGGGGTCAAATATGTTAAAATCTTCAAACAACTTCTACTCAATAACCAAATGGCCCAGGGTACTGATATTGGGCCTGTAGCATGCTGGGATGAAGGGCTACCAAGTTTGTTCAAATGAATGACCTTGACCCACTTTCAAGGTCACTGGTGTCAGATGTCTTTAAAATCTTCAAACAACTTCTT